ATCACACGGGACGTTACTTGTAGTGTGAGATTTGATATTGTTTCTGTGACGTTCACGGTAAATTCAACACAATGCACACTTTTTAGGTCGGGCAGACCGGATTACTAGACAGCGGACGTGGTGCAACTGGTCGGATGGTCGATGTATTCAGTGTGAATATTGGACTTGGGGCCGATCAATGCGGTCGGTGTTCGGAGTAGACAGTGGTCGGATTTCACAGGTTGTTTTAACATAGGCGTCTATGGAGAAATTTCGGGACTACATAAATCGGTCGGTTCTGACAGTAGGTCGGTTTATCCAGGGGTCGGTTTTGACAGGTTTTACTGTATATGTTAACAGAATAAAAACTTACAATAAATTTCTGTAATATTTTTTCTTGGCTTTGCCATTGAAAGGTGTCTGAACACGGGGTTAATGCAGTTACATTGGGAGGGGGCTCCCTTTTACAAAATATGGTTGCAAACCATAAAATACGGCCATCTGTGGTGGCTATGCATTGCATGAACATTCTGATAACAGGCCACAAACTACATGTAAAGGTTGATCAATGATAAGAATATGCTGGGACCTGGTTTATATAATCCATTTTTCAGAGGAGTTTTCACCAAGTATACTGCATGCTTAGGTTTTTCTAAATTCGTAAATTATGTTACATGTAATAAATCTGTCTGATAAATACTTGGTTGTTTTATGTAATGTACTCATGCGAACAAAATGCACAGGATTTGTTTTGCGGGATTTGATTTTTAATAGCACAGGAAATGCTACATGCCGGCATACATCACTGGGTCACATTTTACAATTATTCTATTCACACCAATTAAAAAACAGGGCAGCTTCCTTCATTAATGTGCAAAATAGGAGGGTTGTCAGTAATTCTTTAGTTTAGTTGACATTCACTAATTATGGACGAGATAGTAAGCACGCGAAAATTTCCAAGAAAAAGAAAGCGAGGAAGAAAGAAGAAAAACGTCAAAAGAATGATCACTCCTGTCAAAAAGATGTTGAAAGAGACGATGCTGGGTTGTACAGAACGGATTTCTTCGGCAAAACCAGTGTCAGCCATGAAGAGGACGAAGAAAGTTTTACCGTGACACTGAGAGTCCGATGAATCAGACTTCGATATAGTGGGTGATACTCCTGTTTAAAACGTTTGAGAGATGTCTGTATCTCGCAGGGAAATATTGTTACCTTCCGACGTAGAAAGAAGAAAGTGAGTGTGAATGTCACGGCCGATCGTTTGAAGACGGCGAGATTCGACTCGTTGACATGTCACTGTTGAATGGCGCCCTAAGAAAAAGAGATTTGTCAATTTTGCAAAGTAAGACAATATCTCAATAGTGGAGCGCAGGCGTCACGGTCTAGGCAGTCAGTTTGAATTTCTTTGCATGCAAGGAGGTTGTATTCGATCAAAACTGAGCCAGCCTAGCTTCCCGTCATCCCGAAAAAAGGGAGCAGTTTTCGAAATAAATAGAAAAGCTGCCATTGGAATGCGAGCGATTGGAAAGGGACGGCACGCTCTGGTGAAACTGTCAAGCTATTAGGGGTTACCTCAACCAGTAACGGGTTCGCCCTTTCGCCAGTATGTACGAGCTGCCTCCAGGAGACTCCAAAACTCGCGGCATGCTTGAACTAATAAGTTTACAAACACAACGGCCCAAAAATAAATACACTGTATTTGCAAACACATCAACTGCCAAGTGTAGTGTCTGTATTGTCTGTTACTCGCAAACAGAACCGCCCACTTTGCATAATCAAAGCTTTAATGAATGACGTCACCGTTCGTTATCAGCACAGACCGTCACAAAACTCCATAGCGTGAAAGAAAACGGCCAAAAAACAGTTTTTCACAGATATAAATGTCGGTTCATGATTTTTCTCGAAAACAACTTTCAAAGCATTTCATTTACAATTAGCTGTAAATTTTGCTGCTAAAACGGGAGTTAACGTTGATTGAAGTTTGAAATCATAAAAGTGCCGATTTCTCGGTGTTCGGTTTTTGCCAATTACCGTTGACCTAATTTTAAATGGCGTTTCAGGGAATAGCGCTACGATGTCGCCGTTTAACTTTTCTTACTCTTGGATATGTTGGCTTCATATCCGTATTTACATATTTGCAAAATTCTATTGCGTTTTTTCACAAACCTCGCGCAAACCACCGGTATACTCTAACTTTAACACCAAAAAACGTGCTTGAAATTTGTGATTTTCGGGAAAAAAAAAAAACTTAATGCAAAAAATAGAAATACGGATTTAAACTTCATGACCTTTGCTTCAAAACAGTGTAAAGTTTTTGATCGCATGAATGACTGTAGAGATGACAATTAAAATTTAATTCACGTTAGTTAAATTATCAGCCCCGCTGATTTTCAGAATCACGTGACGCTAAAACAAACACAATGTTCACAAAATATTAATAATAGGAAAATACAAGTCAAGAGCTTTCCAAACATATATAGATTGTATGGTTTCTCGTAAAATTTATTCGGATAATAGGTGTTTACATTTTTCATGCAAAAAACTATCCTGCTACCTTAAAGAGCAGTCGTATAGGTTGAATTTTGAAGATTCAAAGAACACAAAATAAGCGACTCAAAATATTTGACAATATTTGGTACTGCTGGTCATTATTATCCAGCTGAGATAAAAAAAATCCGTCCTAAACTCCAGTTATCTTGGCATTGATTAGCGTTACTTCCTTTTACATGTGTAGAAACCAAAAAAGAATTGTCAAGTGTTCTATTCTATTCTAACTTGAATTTTCAGTGCATTTTGACACTATTTATATTTTTCTTTACCTGTAATGAAATGAAAAGGCAAGGTATAGTTAACTTGTATGTCCGATGTCAGTCGTTGCCATTCTGACATCTATCATCTTAAACAATGTCTTGTCTTGTATAGTATCAATCAATGTATATTCTTGGTGCAGTTGGACATTGGTCTGGCATCTATATTTCCAGAGATAAATGTGTCTTTTTATCCAATTTGCATTGGCTCACTTAGTATCTCTAATGCCATCCAATAGACTAAACTTTGATACAACTATGAAATCTATCTACTTTTTATAATATAATTATATATTGTAATGTTAC